CAATTATATTACAGAGAACGATCAAAGCTGTAGTCTATTCCTTACGATGCCACAACTTTGTACGAATCCAAATATTTCGGCGGTAGCATTAGCAAAGTGCCCTCGAAACTGCGGATTGTGCAATCAGCCTGGTGCAGGCGGTCGTTGCCCAGATACTTCTCCTAATTGTGCCGTGCTAGTGGCTCTCGCAGGCTGCAATGATACAAATATTCAGCAGATGTGCATGGGAACGTGCAACATTAAAACTTGTTTATGTAAACTTTTATGAATTTTTCCACTAATAAAACTATCGTTAGATATAATGAGCCATAGTAAGTTGCAAATTCTTGGATACATTGACTATAATGCAGCTTTTATTCTAAGAACGCTTATTACTTCTATTTCATTACTTTTATCATTTGTCTAACTAACAAATTTTATAAAAATTTTACCAATTTTGGCGGCTGAGTTGTGAGCACTGCTGTCACAAATTCCGATGAACTATGCAATATTCAATATCTAAAATTTGGAAATTTTCTTGCAAATACTCAGTTGCTAAACCTATATATAATGAATCCATTTAAATTCAGCTACAACTGGAGGACCATCTGTTCAGATATGTTCCGACGATCGAGCAAACTGTGCACAAATGCAACGCTATTGCACTATCGAACCATTCACCGGTACATTAAGACAACAGTGCAGAAAAACATGCCGTGTATGCACATAAAAATCTCTGACCTGTTTATAAGGCAGAGTTTTGTCATAAAAATAAACACATTAAACTTATATTCATTATTAATTTTTCCATATTTGTTTAAATAAAATTATTCTAAAATTATTTTGCTAGTTTGTATAGAAATTTAAGAAATTTTTTGGTGAATTTATCCAATTATTAATTAAATATTCCCCACCAAATTTAAATTTTTTGGTGCTAATGAATATTAAATTTAGAAATAAAAACAATTATTATCAAATTTTTTATGATTAAAGCAATGCAAAATTTTATAATTCAAAATTTAACGATATTTGTAAATATTATTTAAAAATATATAAAATTATATAATTTTATATATTTAATATTATATAATATTATATAAAATTTAATAACGATATTTGTAAAATTTGTAAAATTTAATAACGATATTTGTAACGATATTATTATCTTTAAAATTCTATGGACAAGGAATCTGTGAATATTTTGCGCGATTCTAGTCAGCCTTGTTCCTTTTTTCTTCTTCTTCTTCTGCTTCTAACAGCTTCCACCATTACAGAAATGTGAAATATAGCAGTGGTGAGGTGTTTACCTTGCAATCTTTTTTATATATTCTAATTTCTTTTTTCGAAATTAGTAACTGTAAATTGAATATATAATAAATGCTAAAATTAAAGAACTCGAAAAGAACTTTTTTTTATGCAAAAATGATAAAACTTATCAACCACAATGCTAACTAAAAATCAGCGGTAAAAAAACGCAGAATAATGTATCCAACAATAATTTATATAATGAATGGAGCCATGCGAACTAAAAATGGTGCATTGGTGCTGGAATACTTCAGTGTGTTTTACTCTCATGTCGTTCATATATGAAGTGTGCATTTTATGTCGAATTATTTAGAAATTCATTCGGTAGAATTCCCTTTTTTGTTCTTCAATTCTGATTTCCTTATCGGAAGATTTCCAAAAATGTTAGTTGATACGCACGCATTATAATGCGTAATTCTGTACAAATGCAACGCCATTACAATATGGAACCATTCGCAGGAATACTGAGACGAAAATGCAGAAAAGCGTGTCGTATATGTGCATAAAAATTTCGCCATTCTGAACTGGCAGAGTTTCATCGAAGAAATAAACATTAAATTTTTTTATATTCGATACATTTTTCAGTAATTACTTTTTAGAAATAAGTGGTACAAACTTTGCTTAAACTATTGCAATTGGTAAGTCTGCAACGACTTTTACTCTAGCGATGCTTTAACCTATTTGATTATTATTATCAATTTTCTTTGATTTCTTGATAAATTGATAATAATAATCAAATAGGTCAAAGCATCGCTAGAGTAAAAGTCGTTGCAGACTTACCAATTGCAATAGTT